GGAACCGCAGCGCTACTCGTAAGCTGTCATTAGGCGGCAAGAGACTTACCGCACTTTAGTGCAACCACCACCTGCATATTCCGGAGAAGAAGAAAAAGGAGAAACGATGTTTGAATAATCAAACGAAGTTAGAAAGAAGAATAAGAAGTACAGTATAAGTGAAATTCCATGACTGAGAAAAAAATTGTTGCCAGAACTACTGAGATTGCAGATGAGTGAAATCAGAACTGATAATATGCACTTTGCGCTCCAGAAAACACTTTTTTGATACAAAACAGCCAGCTAGAAGAATCGCCAAATGTCACCCTAATCAACAAAATCTCTCAACAATTGGCGATTTGGCGCCATGGACAAGGTGCTAATTACGATGTTAGACTTTCTTACCCGACCATTCTACTAATGTCGAAGATTGTTCAAATCACGGGGCTAACCACCAATTTATTAAGATTGCACATATTAACTACCAATTTGAGGGAAGAGCTTTGGCGCCTTGCCATATGTTCAGTACAGATGCTAAACAAACAAAAAGAGTAGTGTTTAACGGCAATCCTCATGTGATTTACAGTCTGATTGAGGTTTATAGAATGTGAATATATGATTAGGTAAGCGATTTCGTCAAAGAATACGCTTTTGACCTGCTTCAAAAAATTGCTGTAAATCTCTGCTCATCTCTCTGCTCATCATCATTGGCACTTTTCCGAGAAGTGTCATAGATATAAGAAAAAAGTATTACGGCAGTCTCACGCTGGAAAAACAGTGCCTTGAGGAGCTTGAATTAGAACAGTGAAAGAATTTGATCAACGCACCTAATAGTCAAAAAGCTAATCTCCATCCCAGCAAACATTTGTGGCTTTTATCAGAAAGACCATCTCGTTTTGGCTGAGGAAAACGGTCAAGTATAAAAATATAGAAAGATTCATAGACAATCGAGAGCGGCTTTTTATTACCCTCGGATTTTCTTAAAATTTCTCATCGAGCTGTTCCAAGTAAAGATAAGTGCAATATACGAATTTTTCTGTAGCTCAAGTTCCACCTAAGCGGTCATTATTCATCTAAAATCAAAAGAGCTACAAATAAAAGGTTGCCATTGGGAGAAAGCACGGAATTGAGATAAAAATAAGTAGTCCACACCGCTCTCTAGTGAAGGAAAGGGGGGAGGGAAAAAGCAGAAGACGCGATTTGTTTGAAGAAAATGTAGCCGAAATTCAAGGAGAGCGTAGTATTGCAAAGAAAAATAGCTAGTGTAAATGCGAATTCTATCGTTTATACGTTCGGGACGAATGAAGATATGTAGATAAGGATTAGGAAGTTGTACTGACAAAACATATAAACGGAATTGCGAATGCGAGACCCACTGCTAATGAAACTGCAGCAGATGATGATATAGTGCATTCACGACATACGATCCCTTGATAGACTGGTCAGGATTAGCTATGAGGGCCGAACATGGTTGCACAACAAAAGCTGCGCATGTGGTGCAGTTTGTGGATGGAATAAGGCTTTTGTAACGACGATCAATAGTTTCTGGCGTAAATTAGCATTTGGGCTAATACCGATAATGGACCAAAAACACTAGGCATACTGACTATGATTGCGTTTTTGCAGCAATCCAGAAAATCTTTGAATAATTTGGAGAAAACTGTATAAGTTTAGATGGTGATATGCTCTTTAGTTTGCCTTAGCGCAGCGTCGAGGCAAAATCTATGCTTTCTCGATTAGTACTTTGTCCACAAGAAGGCCCTAGTAGTAGGAATTCTTGTTGTTCTGTCCTCTAATGTGGACTCCGTATGTAGTACGTAGTCCTGAACCGCGAAAGTGCTATCAAGCCACGCCCGCTCTCTCAAGCTTCGCCCACCCGGGTACTGGACGGCCTTTGGTGAATGCTGCATTTACGATGTTCGAGTTCGTATCGGAATAGCTGGAGCAGAAAACTAAAGTGAATCTTTCTTCAATCATTCCAGAACTAGTCCGAAGTTCGGACTAATGCAACTTGATTGGGTAATGGAAGTCTCACCAGCATTTTGGACTCATAGATTCGTGTTCGAGTTTAGAAAATGAATTGCGATTTGTGAATTTAGGAAAGAAGAACTTTCAGATTTTTTAACCATAAGATTTGTCCCAAATCAGAAAATCGATAGACGATCAGATGACTAAATACATATTTCAGTGAGTGTGACTATTCGTTCAAAAGATAGAGACCATCTCATCACTTCCAAGTAACGAATTTGAAGGTTTCTTTGAGTATGCTGAAATCGAGAACTAAATGTAATAATATTCGATATACATATGTGCAAAGTTTAAGGCACACAAGATTTTGGATGGTTCAAATTTGGAAGACAAGAATTGAGAGGAGAAAAACTTTTGTTAAAATCTTGAAATGGTACACTTTACTGGCAGAAATAAAGCTGTCGCACGGAATTTGCAGTGATGGGGGATGATTCATTTCTTGTGGCATAAAAACCACTCGTTGTTTCCCTGGTGATTGATTTTGAAATCACGGAAGCAAAAAATAGAGTTGGTGGCATTCGACTACTTTGCAACACGATTTTGGAGTAATTTAGGAGAAGAAGTAAGTTAAATGCGCCACTTATAAACATTCATTACACTAATCAGCTTTTGAGCCTTCAGTTTCTAGCAATTCTCAGGAGTCATACAGCCAAAATCTACGGCATCAACAAGGCAATTTGGCGCCACCAACTGCTCGTTAACTGCGATGTCATTCTTTTCTTTCCCAATGTCTAATTGCTGTCAAACTAGCTAAACCACATCAACCGGCAAATTTTGAAACCTTTGGCGACGTCCATATGTCGCGCACAGATGCTATACAGACGAAAAGAGTAGCATTTGACGTCAGTTCTCATGTGTAATTTTGCAGATCTGCTTGGATTGCAGAAAATTTCAATCATCGAATGATCAGAATTGTTAGATTACTGTTTGCCAGGATCCGAACGAATAATCCTCCCTGAAAGCACCCCCAGCATTCTCTCTCAAAAAAAGTGTTACTTTCGTGAAACCATCGAATGTAGCCCTTAAATCAATTGTCGTGCCAAGCTACCGTATAGCTACCGTATACTACCAATTTGCTGTTTACGGTAGAGTCTAAACTTTTTATTCAGCTGCGTTTCAAAACAATTAGTAGAAATCAAGACAGACGGAAGAAGAGACGCTTGAGATGGTTCGCAAAATTTTTTCAAGTATCCTAAATGGTTATCATGCGATATATAGACGCCATGTTAGGTTTTATTAGCTAAAGGCGCTTAAGGCACAGGCTTACTTCATGATTAGTAGAAAGCTTGAATCTCTAAAAAGCAGCTACATTGCGTAAAACCTTGGAGAATTGCAAAAATAGAGGACTTAGATGGTTTCTCCCTTTTTGTTTGGAGGAGGGTAGAAAGCCACAAAAAAAATTTCCGAATAAAGTTGCGCGGTGTTAGCCATGCATTCCAGAAATTGCTTGGGGTTCCTTCAAATTTTTTCTGGGCTCATAACCGTTTTTACGGAACTAACCTGCATTTTGGAAAGTATTATCAATTGATTCAATTGTTTACAAGAATAAGCAACTCACTTGGACATTATTTTTATGACCTATGTAAGTAACTTTTTGAAATTTCGCGGCGCAATCTCGAGGGAGGGGGGAGGGGGCTGCTCCGCCACTACTGGGTGGAGAGAACTATAGCTTATTAAAATTACACCGGCAAAATCCAAACAAGTCAACAGCTTGGTTTTGTGCCTTGGTTTTGATTCTACGTGTCATACCGACTAAATTATAATGGCATGATAGAATAGGTGACACAATGGTTTAGAGAGAACTTTAACGTCAAAAATTACGGCAGTTTCTCAAGCACAGGCAATCTTGCGCTTTGAACACATTTCTTTCTTTTCGCACACGTAGTCAAGAGCTTCTGTATCCACACAAATGCTACCACTTATCCCGTGCAAGGTTCTTAGCGGATAATTCACAAAGTCGCAAATAATTCATTTGCTAACGTAAAGGACTAATCGTGCGTTGGAAAACGAGCGCGCTGTGCATCGTGAATGGCACAGCATTAGTGGTAATATTTAAGACAATTATCTATTGTGAATGGCCAGCATCCCGAAAATCGGCAGAACTTCTGGTTTTTGAACTTGCAAACATTCCGGAAAATTTTCACGAACTTTGCGTTCAAATAAAGCACCCTAGTGCTATGTTCTAATCATAACTGGCATACTAATTCAAATTTCAGTGCTCTATAAAAAACAATGAAATCAAAATTACAGCGTCTAGAGTGTATGGTTTACATTCTAACGTGGGAGGCTGAGTTTGACGTAGTGAAGAATTTTCAGCTCTATACAAACACTTATTGAGCAACTTCTAATTCAAAACCCATAAAATAACTGCATCAACTTACTGCTTAGGCACAATAGATGCATGTCCAAAATTGTTTGAAATTTGTTTTGTAATAGAAATTATTCACAGCGTTATTATGTTTGAACCGAATACATCAAATTTATGCACGTTTATACACATATCATACACCCGGTTTGCTTTTGACATAAATCGAGTATAGCTGCGTTCAGCTGAAACCATAGCTGTAAATGCATAATTTCTTATATACATATTTACATACATTCATACACGTATCTATTAACCCCTTTTTCTAATGGACCTCGCGACATAAACCCGTGTGTAGCTGGAACCATGGATCTGCTATACCAGGTATCTCCTAAAAATGTCAAGCTCGGCATTCATAATAGTTTCATAAAAGAATAATGTGATAAACGCCGTAACGGTTGGAAGTCTTACATTGGCAAGCATTCGGAAAGGCTCTTGTGCTCAGAAATACTATTTGCACAAGGTAACATCCCAAACTGTGTCTGTGACTAGTCGTAGACCTCGCTGTAATGGCGGCAGGTGAAAGTTGTGTCACTTTCCCTGCTTTTTTCGTGCTTAAATGTGTATGATTTGGAAACAGTAGTAATAAAGCATGAAATTACCTACTTTTATTTTTTGAAGCTGCACGTTAGATGGATCCCAGTCCAAAGTCACGTCCGGCAGTTGCGGAAGAATTCGGGGAGATATGATGGTAAATTTGCGTCTGCGGTATAGCGCACCCGGGTCGGAAGCTGTATGGATTAATGACCGACGACGATGCACCAAATGACGATGTCGAGTCCAGCGGTGATGTCGTAGTCGATTTAGATGAAGAGGATACGCAATAAGTGAGCGGAAGTGTTTGTTCCCATGGCATATCATATCTAAAAAATAAATGCACTTTACTCGAGCTTTTTCCATATATGGGCAAAACTTAGAGTGTGATGTCTATTAGTCAACAAACTGCTGTTTCACCAAAATGCAAGTAGTATATTACTCTACTATATGTGCACTTATATCCATGACGACTATGAGGGAATGTCCAACTCACCTATTCTCTTCCTCTGAAATCTTGCAGTTTGGTGCGGAATATGGTTGACAGCGTGACTTTACCGTAATCTGCCGATGAGACCTATAACTATTAAATTGTTTGGATCAAGAATGAAGATTTGATAAATTTACAGACCTTTTCTGACGAAGAAGAGCAACTAGTGCACAAGCGAAACTCATCGACGTCAGAATAGAGACTGCTGCCAGTGTCAGCAAAGAGGCTTGCAAAATCTTGTCGTCACTCTTCAGCCGAGAGAAAATGGAAGTTGAAAAGGCAGACGAGGGATCACCTGGCAGCTGAAGAATAGAACAATGAGAAGTTCAACATAACTGGTTACGCAATAGGCAGAATCATTAATAGCTATTTGACAGTCATAATGCTGGCTTATGGGGTCAATCGTTGATGGACAATAAGAGAAGTTACTGTCACCTAGCATGTGCAGTGAGTACTGTAGCTGTCAGTTTGCCAATGAAATCTCAAATAAAGACCGGACTTTGTTGTTATAAAGCCATATGGTGGCGTTATGTAAAAATGGCCACCATTTTTCTATAGCGTCAATACTATTCTAGGAAAAAATCAAGCTCTATTGACTAACCCTATGCTCGATGAGGGTCACATCTAAAGGGTCCGGGCACCATGGACATCTCTCTGTATGCTTCTCCACTGCTACAGTGGCGTTGAAACACCTGGCCCGAATTTCAATTAGCCTCTTGCCCAGTTCCTCTTCTGGCAGAGGAGTGGTTGTGACCATCGCCTGACGCCGTCTCCGTTCCTACAAAAGTCGACTTAGTTCACGGCGTTCACTCTACATATTAAAAGGCCAACTCCAAGCATTCATGTTGAAATCTCACCAATATCCCGTCTCCATCCGGAAAGGCGCGGACTGACGCGGTATGGTCACAGACTCGCGGAAACCCATAGAGCGGGTCGGTGCCAACCACCTGGCACCTGAGCTTCAGATCTTCCGGCTTACCTTTCGCCCAGTGAGATACGAATGAGCGCGAGGTGTCCTGAAGTAGAATAGTAGATGGTAATTTCACTGTAAAGAATACGGGGCTACAGAGAATTTTTGCGTTCAAGCTATGTTGGATTTTACAAGTAAGACTTTCTGGCATGTTTTCTACTTCCTGCTGGACTTGTTTAAGCAAAGGCGAGTTCGATACATATTAATCGAAAACTTTTCGGCTTCTCTTTTTTTCCAGATCCCTGACCCTAAGCATGATCGTTGGGCTGACCGTTTATGGATATTAGAATAGGTAAGCAAGGCAAATAAGCACTCAGTGAGTAGAGAGGAAAAAGACCGTGAAGTTTAGAATGCGGGAAAACAACGCTGGCGAGCACTTTACTGAAAGATATTATGAATATAAATTACGGAATTCTTAAAACTTGTAATTGGCATTTCAAAATTATGCGCAGTAAACAGAAAATCGATGGCTTCATCAAAATGGCAGAAAAGAAGGGAGTGCAATTTGGAAAAAAGTCATAAAGTTACCTGCACAAAATGCTCGGAGATAGGCCAACTGATAGAGATCTCCTCAGTTAGTAGGAGCAAATCTCCAATTATCTGGAAGCGATCATTCTTAAATGTGTCACGTACATCTAAAAATCAACATACAAATATGTCAAGAAATTTACCTCAAATCTGGGGTGGGAACAACCGGCGGTGGTTAGACATCCTTCACTCCAGTCCACTCTCAGCAAATCGGCGGTCATCCAAAATGAGTCCGCCATCACGGCAGGTAGAATGAGCAACAATGGCAACATCTATGAAATGTCTATTATCGAAATGTGTTAATTATCTGCGACTATATCATCGAGCATAATAACGAAGAGCGTCAGTGGTGCAAGAGCATGGGGCGAAGCCGACAGCCGCCTTCCAGCTCTCCTAATTATGAATGCACGCAAAACGAGGAAAAGCTTTAGCGGATAATGTTTGCCGAGATCAAAGGTGAACAGAAATATTATTAATGGTTGCAAAGAGATGGAGATGAGAGGGTCTTATGCACAAAAGATAGATGACTAACCTTGAGGCATATCTATCTTTAAAAAATTGAATTAGCTACCATATCTTTTCGCATAAAGTGAACTCTAAGAACAGAGTGCCTTACATATTCGGATCTACATCCGAAATCATTTACATTCACTACCTTATATATTATTCACTACCTCCGAAAATTAGAGCTATATGAATGTGACGAATATCTATGGAGGCACGTGAAGTATAAGTAGTACTTGCTAAGGTCAACTAAGCTCAGCAACTGTCAACAATAAACAAACCGATAAGGTAGCGCACGCGTCGGCTGATAATCTATTACAGGGTATTAAGCGGACCACCATATCTTTTAGGAGCACTATTGCGCTCCAGTGCCAATTGTGACCCACCCTATAAACCCACAACCAGGCTACCGTATCCAACCGTTGAAACAGTCTGGGTATACTTACAAGCCATGTGGATACATTATCTGTGGAGTAAACCGCAAATGTTGCCCCGATCATCAAAAATGTTGGGGCGCCAGAAACAATCTGTGAAACCTTTGTAGTGATGCAGTGCCGAAATTCTATCTGAAAAAGCTGCTTGATGAAATTCTAGGTCTGTGAAAGATTTTCATGTCTGATAACGTCTGCTGAGCAGTGATTTCAATAAATGCAGGAATCCATGTAGAAAAACAAAGAGTGGAATTACTTTTAGTATCCTACATTCTACAACAAAATAATTTTATGGTGTAAATCAACATTGCATTCAACTAATACGAAGCGAGGTCACGAACAAAATTACCACCGGCACACATAACTCCTCTTCTAATCAGTTTAATGTTAATAAAAGTAAAATACATGCGATACAAAGGAGCCGAAGGAACTGAAAAAGAACGAGGTTCAAAAATAATCCTGCTCATTTACGCTGGATTTCTAAAAAATTGCATTTACCCAACAAGTTCCTGCAGCTTTCATTCTAAGAAACAATACTACAAAAACGTCAACTGCCAGAAATCAATTCTACTTTCAGAAGTAAAAGTGATTGTGATTGTATACAAAGATTTTACGGTGAGAAATCTTTGGCACGGATACTGTCAAAATATAAATTGTCAAGGTGAAGTACTAGTTGCGGAAAATTAGCTGTTATAAATTGTTTGAGAACTACTGTAGAGGACAAGAGATGCTTGTATCACGCTTATGCAAAGGAACTTAACGCCAAAAAATTTCTTCTTTGGTTGCGCAACTGACGATGTTGACAAATGTCGAATACCATCTCGACGGCGAAAATGTAAGCGATAAAGATCTTGCGCTTTGAAAACCAGCTACAGGGTGGTTTGCATTGTAGTTGGAAGGACTCAAACTTTCACTAGAGTCTGTTTTGCTAGAGATAGTACCGGACAGTCATAAAGCGCATTGGAGACTGTTAGAATTATTTTTGAGGGTGAAACCTCGGTAAACACAGAATAAGGAGGAGGCGAAATGAGGATTTGTAGGTCTCCTACATCATTTGATGGCCGATAGAGAGGCTATTAAATTCGCAGATTATCAAAAGGCTTTTATCTTATATATAAAGCTGTATGTCTGTTTGTATGTCTGTCTGTCTGTCTGTATGTCTGTCTGTACGTATGTTCCGAATAGAAAATTCCATTTCTGAACCGATCCGGACCAAACTTGGCACACATACACTACGGGTCCCGGCGGGTGTCATAGGCTACTTTTCGTCATCGATCGATATCGATTTTATCAATTTTTATCGATTTTTTTGCTGAGTTCACCTACGGGGCTGGGAGTTGGCACAGGGGGGTAATCGAGCATGGGGATTCCGAATACAATATTGGTTTTCGGGATTATCGATTACTTTTATCGATTTTATCGATTTTTTTGCAAAGTTTGAGCTACGGGGCTGGGAGTTCGCACAGGGGGTAATCGAGCATGGGGATTCCGAATACAATATTGGTTTTCGGGATTATCGATTACTTTTATCGATTTTATCGATTTTTTTGCAAAGTTTGAGCTAGGGGGCTGGGAGTTGGCACAGGGGGGGTAATCGAGCATGCTGATCATCCCCAAGGGGGGTGATCAGCATGCTCGATTACCCCCCTGTGCCAACTCCCAGCCCCCTAGCTCAAACTTTGCAAAAAAATCGATAAAATCGATAAAAGTAATGGACGATCCTGACTAATATTGTGTTCGTAATCGGCATGCTCGATTACCCCCTGTGCAAAATCCCAGCCTCGCATGTCAAAATTTACAAAAAATCGATAAAATCAATAAAGGAATCGATAATCCTGAAAACCAATATTGTATTCGGAATCCTCATGCTCACTTCCCCCTGTGCCAACTCCTAGCCCTGTAGGTGAACTCTGCAAAAAAAATCGATAAAAATCGGTAAAATCGACATCGATCGATAACGAAAAGTGGACTGTGACACCCGCCGGGGCCCGAAGTGTATGTGTGCCAAGTTTGGTCCGGATACGGCGGAGCCGGGTAAGCCAGCTAGTCTCCGATAAAAATGAAATTCTTAAGAGTTTGCGAGCTACAGTTTTTACGTAAAAGAGCTATTGTCGATGTCCATTTCGCCTAGCGATAAAGTACTAAGCGTATTAGCTTATCAGAATGCTTAGCATGCATTCCAGATTTGGTTAAAAACAATGCGAGCGGCCAAGAATTAGAAATTAGAAAGAATTGAACACAAGCGGCCACGAATTAGAAATTAATAGTGCCGATGTCTTTAAAAAAGTATTAGAGTGCTTATCTTTCGGTCGACATGACTGTACAGTAGCAGGAATCATGCTAAAGGCGGCAGGAACTTCAAGCACTAAAAAATTTTCGTATAAAAAATTGGAAGGGAAGAGAGATAAAAAGCGATAGAAATTTGTAAAGTCTGTTCGTTCTGATCCATCAGCAAGATGATGTTGCAACCGGCTGTAAACGCTCCTCCTGGAGAAAAAGAGATGGTATTGTAAAGAGTGGGATGTATGGCCACTTATCACTGAGTGAATGACAAATATACGCTGCCGAGTGGCTAAGCACATCTCCAAGCAGTGGCGCTTGCACTTTTAGTTTTGCTTTCATTGCCTGGCTCAGTTTTTGTGCTCTTTCCAAGTCCACCACTGCCAATAAAAATTTGCTTTGCCAAAAAATTGATCCAGTTGTACAAGATAAAAAACGCAATCTCTGATAAATACAGACAGAGCGCTAGCGCTGAAACCCACACTATGTACCTATATAGAATGATCCAAAAATTTCGATAAATGGGTTACAAGAGTTATAGAATTCTGCAAGAATTTTTTTCCTAATTACAGGGTTCTATGTATTTTTCAGAAACTATTAGGTTGTAAAGAATGTTCCCGGGCACTTGCGAAATTTTTTTTCAAATCGCTGTAGCTTCGAGCATATTGGATCTTTTTGAAACTACAAACTTCATTGCAAAGACAAATTTGTTTTTTTCATTTTTTTTCAACATATACTTCTCTTGCTGGCTTTTCAACACCTTACTGCGGTCCACCAGCATGCGCAGAAGGGAAAAAGGTCGACGCGAAAAGTGGCCTGTTTGTGCAGGAACGATGAAAGCTGGAAAGCTCAAATGCTGTGGTTGTATAGGAGTCTGCTGGGGCTGTTATGGGGACCATTCAAGTTCTTGAAAGACCACCTGCAAAAAAAATTTTCCCAGAAAGTTTGAAAAATCGATCATTTTTTGCCCCTTAAAATGCACCATTCTTCGAGCAAGTGACTTTGAAGTCTTGTCGTTCTGCATAGGTTGGACCAAATCTTTGATTGCTGCGAACAGTGTTGGGATAATGCCTTAAACTTCTTTTGGACCCATCATCCAGGCGTGGCGATCCCCGCAGATGCGACGCCAGCTGCGAAAAGAGTTGCAGTCAGGTGTAAGTTCAAGAGCTTGTGATTTCTAAACGCAAATCTCAAAACTCGAGTGGAGCTGCGGGTCAGTAGTCAACAGGCTTCTCAATCAGATCGACCATGATTTGAAATTTTTTGAACTGCACAAAAAAATGGTCGTAGGAAGTAAATGTGAAATTTTTGTAGTTGGAAAGACCTCTCTTCTTGATGTGCTCATCAAACAAGTCTTGGCATCGATAAGAATCGGAAACCGTATTGAAAACTTCAGGCTTCCCTCTACTGAATAGTATAAAAACCTTAATGTTAAAGTCCGACCGAGCGCCGAAAAAATGCGTTGGAAATGAAATTTCCAAAAGTGCCCGGGAACTTTCTTTACAACCTAATACATGATAGAAACCTTTCATAAACCCAAATTGATCTTCTTCTTATTTACAGATATAAGCTCACAAGCTCGGAGTTCTAGAAACTTTACAAAAAATTTCTGAGAGTAAGGCTAACGCAGCGGCCTTTTTAAATACGAAATCTGTCTCTCTCTCTTCCTCAAAAAATTCTGCAAGTGCGCGTACCATAGGCTCTCAAAATCATAAATATACTAAAATCTTACAGATAAGTCCGCTTTTTCAAAAGAAAAAAACGATAAAAATGCACCCCCCTGAATCTTGCAGATAAGTCCTCCCATCGGATAAGTCCATCTACAGATAAGTCCGGACTTATGGGACAAGATTTCAGGGTAGTTGTAATGGAAAGAAAACGAACTTATCTGTAGGGCGGACTTATCTGGAGACGGACTTACCCAATGACCTAAGAAGGACTTATCTGTGAAATTTTAGGATAGTTGGGAAGGAAAAGATTTCAACAAACTATTGTTAGAAGCTATACGATGATATCAAAAGCAAGTTCTTGAAAAAAAGCAGCAGGTCGGCGTAAGG